ATTACTCTTTTTATCCAAAACGCAAATTTGTGTGTGTGTGTGTGTGAGAGAGAGAGAGAGAGAGAAAATTTCAAAATATAACCGAAAGCCTTTTTCTTTTTTTAACAAATCTATTAAAATGATAATAATAATAATAATAATAATAATAATAGTGGAAAATTCAATAACATAAAATAGACTCAACATAATGTGTTTGTATGTTTCTTAGGTAAAATAATGTGTTTGAGTTTGTTATGTAAGAAAAAGCAATTAACAAGTTTTTTTTTTGTGTCTACTGTAAATGGATGAATAAGGTAGTGGACAGGAGGAGGAGGTAGGACAGGTGGTGATTTACTAATATACCTTAAAAACCTACAGGAATAATTTATTATAAACAAAAAAAAAAAAAAGCAAGCCTTGATGTAATCAAATCGACCTTGTAAATTTCAAGATTTTATTTATTTTATAAAAACTAAAAATTATTTACTTATTATTATTATCATTATCATTATTATTATTAAATTTTCTATTTTAAATAACTGGAGAATTTACCTTTTAAAAAAATAAAACAAATTCAAAAACACGTTGTTTTATTATTATTATTATTATTTTTCGATTATTTCTCACGCTCGTTTTGATTTGTTTTATATAATAAAAAATTAACGTAAAAAAAAAATGCGCTCTCTCTCTTTTATTATTATTATTATTATTAAAAAATATTTATTTAATTATTTATTTATGTAGACGATGTAAATTTTATTTAGGTTTAATTAAAATTAATTAATTAATAACAAAAATCCAAAAGGAGAAGAAGAAGAAGGAAAATAAAAAATTTTGCTTTTTTTTTTTACTTCTTAATTAATAATTAATTAATAATACGTAAAAAAAACCTTTCTAATAATTATTTCACATTCGTTTATTAATGATAATAATAATGATACATAAAATTTTATTAACTTTAATCAAATATCAATCCGACCGGCGGTGAAGTCAAAGGGAAAAAAAATAAGAAAAAAAATTTTTTATTACTCTCTTTGAATTTGGGTAGGGTGGGAGAGGGAGGGGAGGGAAGAATTATTTCAATTAATTAATGGAAAAATCGATATCGTTTTATTATTATTATTATTATTGTAATCTCAATAAAATAACGGATGATAATAATTTACCGGGTAATTATTACCTTCGTACATGCGTCGGTAGCGAATATAGTCGATAAAAATTATTATTAAATTATTCCCGTAAGATAAGTAAAGAAAATAAATTATTTATTTATTTAAATCTTATAATTATATGTATTGATAATAATAATAATAGCGCGTGGGATGATGCTTGTGAGAGTTTAAAAAGGTAAATAAAGGTGCGAATTATTTTTTCAGGTGTTGTAAAAAATGAATTTTTTTTTTAATTTATTAATTTTTTATTTTTATTCGAATTTAAATTAAATCAATAAATTTTTCATACGTTCGATCGATCGGTGTCCCCCACATCTCCCCTCCCCTCTCGTTCCCCCCTAAAAAAAACGTCTGTTTGATATTTGATAATGATAATGAAAAAAAAAAAATTATTTTTTTATTTTTACACGATAAACGGGAATTATTTATTGAGAATAAGATGGGAGGGGGAGGAGGGAGGGGAATGTGTAAATTTTCTTGTTAACAGTTTAAAAAAAAATTGTTTTGTTTTGTTTTGTTGGCACCATCATGTTATTTAATTGTTTATTATTATTATTATTTAAAAAAATTCTCACATTAATTAAAATAATAACCGGAATTTACCTTGTTGGGGGTTTTTTTTTTTTTTTTTAATACGGATAATTCACAATTTTTTTCTGTTTTGAATAAGTGATTATTTCCTGAATTGAATTCTAATAAAAAAAAAAAAAATGGCGAGTCTAGTTACACGTTTTTTTTTAAATCACAAGATTTTTTTAAATTTCGTTTATGTACTGTTATTATTTTGCTAATAATGTCAAATAATTTTCGTCATTTATTTATTTCGAACGGATTTTTTATTAAGTCGTTTCATTAAATTATTATCATTATCATTATTATTATTATTATTATGGTTTTTATTTAATTAGTGCAATATATTTAAAAAAATAATAATA